CATCAGTGTCACTTAGGCGCTACACAAAGTCATAGACTCTATTATATTTAGAGTCAACAGTAAGAAAACGTATATAGAGAATACAGTTGATCACATCAACAATATCTGAAAATTTCAGGTAATAAATGAGAGGCAAGCACATATTGACATACTTGGTGCTGTCATATGGGCAATAAAGCGATCAAATCTGTTTTTACTTCAATCGGCCATAGTTATGTACTTGTTTACAGCTTAAGTACTGTGAAGTCAAAGATCGCTAACATCTATATACTGACTATGACAGCAATAAACTCACGTACCATTTCGTGCTCCTAACGGGACCGCCATTGAAACAGTATATTAGCAATTATCAGGGCAATGACGTCGGAATCAGAGATTCCTAGAGTCGCCGATGGTATTTTCGCTGATATTAATGGAATTTATTATTCATAAAACGTATATATCGTACGTGCATTTACTGGTTTCTTTCTCTACAGTGTTATCAAAATGAATTACTTACCTGCGTGTTTTCTAGCAAACATGTTGTGCATTCATCACTATTTATATATAAATAGTAATCTTGATCATGTGCTTCAAAATGTTACGTGTCAGAGCGTTTTTAATTTACAGTACACTACTTATTGTTATTCAGACATGTTTAAAAGTGATATCAGTATGTATCGGTAGATGTAATGACAAAAGAAATAATATGATACAGCTGTTTCGTCTTTCAAAGACAAAAGAAAAAAGAAATAAAGAAACCAATTGATAAATCAATACATAAATATAATCAAAACAAAAAACAAAACAAAAAAATAAAATTAAAAAAAAAAAAATCAATCAATAAATAAATATAACAATAACAAAAAACTAAAAAAAAAACGACAAATAAAGACAACTGAGGTTTTTCCTGGAATTCTTCGCAAAGGGAATTGCTAACGCTCTATCTAGAAAGTAATAAAGTACCAGACAAAATAATTAGCTAGACAAACCTATAAAACAACTAAACTTAATCCAGGCCAATAAATAGTTTGTCAAATTATTGTTCCTAGAGAAGAACGAGTTTATAATTTATCCTGTACAAAGATAACAGAGCAAAAATAATGCACAATTTATTAACCCTTATAGTTTCAGAATTTACAGAACTCACGTCAACATGCATTGTAAAAGGTGTTGTGTGAAACAACTGCCTGATACAGTTTCAATCTTTATTCGATTCTGATGTATCTAAATCTGCATTAAAATATGTTGTTCTCTTGATTACAGATTTTAAACATAATAAAACATTCTTTATATGAATCAAGATGGTGTACTGGAGGGTGAAATGTAATGACTCTCTACAACGGTAAGAACAAAGCAGCTGGAAATCGGAATGAAACCGCCGGATTTCTGTACTCGTCTTCAACAATTTAAAAATAAAAAAAATAAAGTTAAATATGTCATGATAGTACACCAATCAATATTCAAACTTTCAAATTTTTTTTTTAATTTCGAAAGAATGCAACTTGATTGAGAAATAATCAAATGTTTGATATTCTTAATTCATAAAAAAGACTTTAAAAGATTTTTCTGACTTCCTGATGATCTGATTTTAGTGAAACTTTTTAATCCTGTGTCTTTATTTTTCATTAAATTCCATAAAATACACGTATGTGAATAAACACATTTTAATGCAAATATTACGAAAACGCAAGTTTCTTAGACTCATTCAAATCGAAAACGAAAAACTGTCATTAAAAAACAATATTATTCCACCTATTCCACCTCTGGGTGATTATTCCAAATTCAATACCGCTAGGGACATTTTGAACTTCAACAAATGTCTTATTTTTTCAAATTTTGTTTCCTCTGTTAAGAAAGAATTCTTGAAATGAAGATGGCTACAAATGAAAGCTGTTATTGGTGCCAAAGAGATAAAAGATAAAATAAAAATGATTTCGGCTCCAAACAATATGGATCCTGGAACGGTACCAGATGAAGTTAACAATCCATCATCTTGTTTTTACTTTTTTCAACCTGTATCTTTACATGCATGAAAGACACGGAGGTGAATAAGTACATTTAAATGCAAATTTACAATTGGATACATCAAAAGTAAATAAATAATTAGACACCATACACTTTAAAACTCACACAGATGTTTGTAAGACTCGTAAGTGATGCTAATGGCCTAAATTGTTGAAGTGATGGAGGCGACTGATAAAAACTTGAATCTGTCAATTAATTTTTTCAATAACGAAAATGAAATATTGTTATCATTGTCATCCTTTTATTTTCCTTGTCCTTTTTCAGGAGTCTCTGTGTAAAGGAGGCGTGCCAGTTTGGGCCTTCTGGTGGCCATGATGAATACTTTTTATTTTTTGTCTATTAAAACCTTGAGGTCAGGCGGTAATGATATGACATTAATCTAAGGTCAGCTCAAGGCTGTTCAGTTGTTATAGGGGAGACGAGTGGGTGATCAAATTCATAATTATTGCAATAATTATCAAACTAAAATGATTTTTAAATTTTTTTTCTCTTAACTGTCATTTGATGATATATTTCAAAACCTTCATTAGAAAAAAATACCCAAAAATATGCCATTGTTGAAAAGTAGGTCACGGAAATTAAGTGCCCTTATTACTAATTAAGTCACACTTGAGCACCGTTTTTTTGTCTTAATACATCTATAAACAATATGTTTATCACATCAGTGTATTTATTTGAAATATTTCAGTAGTGAACGGCGATGTGAAGCAATTCATCTCTAGTAAAATATTTTGCCTATTACCACTAATACTAAACGCTTTCAGTTAAATATGTCTAAAGGTTAAATGTTATTTTAACCACCATGGATGTTGAACAACTTCAATTTTTCATTAAAGATATTTTTATCACAATCTCCCAATAAAAATAAGTTTTCATTAGAACACTTAGAACCAACTGGCAATCACTTATAAGCTTTAAATATATGTTCATATTTTGAACCTAGACTAATGGATGGGTAATTAGCTGTAGACTTTTAGATAAATATGCCCTCGCTCTTTACATTAGGTAATTTATATACCTGTTCTAAAATGTGTGATCTTTTTTAACCAATCATTCGTCGTGTAGATAGTTACGTCGGTGACTATTTAAGAAAAGTTATATGTATCTACATAATTGCAGAGGCGTTTCTTCTGTGTGGCAAGTTTTTAGAAGCTCTGTGATCTACTACCAGATCAGGATATACGTCAACATCCAGGTCTAAGATTCAGAACTTGTACAACAGGTATTTTCATTTATGATATTGTGAGAAATCATATTGACAACAATATTTTGTTTTAGGCTCGCGTCGTGCAGTGAGCTCATGTCATTTTTAGTAAACAGATAAATAGGACCAGGAAACTAAAATGTCTACGGTATTCAGAATCATAGATTATCATTAATAAGTGTACATGTATGTATAACAACAATGTCTACAGTATTACGTAGGTACTACATTGTGAAGACTTTGTAGAACACACTAGTGACCACAAGATTTACACTCTTTAAATAACACGATGCAATGTATTGGATTACGAGAAGGCAGACGAGGCTAAAATTAGATCGCTCCACCTTGAAATGCACATAAATAAACAACACAAATAAAAGAAATACATTTTCACTCACTCATAGATACAGAAGTACAAAAACAAAATGTATTTCCGTGAAAATATTAATAAGATTTAGGTAAGACCTACAATTTCACCCCGAGACCATCGATCGGTATCTATTGTAAATTTGAACTTCCTGGTTAGACTTTGCTTAAAATATACACATGGCGCATGTTGGGGAACATCACTTTTACCATGAGAATTTTAATCAAAACTTTTTTGTTGAAATAAACCTTCTCGTATTCCATGTCCACTTATATCATTGGTCTTTTCAGAAAAAATCACGTTTTTTCCCCAATATATACAGATTAAAACAAAGTTAGCATCACTATAGTGAATATGTATGAATATGTGTATCTATTGTACTTATGCGGAGATATATGTTCTTCAATCTTCGCCTGGTGAAATAAATCCGATATTCTGGATATTTTAACCTGTCAAATTAAAATGAGCGTGTGCATGAGTGACCTCCCCCTGTTTCGCCTTTTATGTCGTCGCACTTTTTGGACACAGATGGAAATCGACAAATAGAATTAAATTATCATGGAAGACAGTCTGCGATCTTATATTACTTTTTCATGTCGATTCCTATATGCATTAACTGTCTTCTAAATAACGAATTTATATTGTCTCACTTAAACCAATGAAGTATTTTCATCATCAAGTAGTCAAAATCAGCGACTTCCAATGCGGACGGGCAAAATTGTGATATTAACAGACCAATGAGATGACCAATCATCTATTATTCTGTATTTAAGCCAATCAGATTTCGGGATATTGAAGTGAAAGATACATCAGTATTTTAAGCTTTTCTACGTCAGGTTTTCCTCGGTGTGTCTCCCCAGAATCTTACCCAAAGAAAAGGTCCGGCAAGAAGAATACAGCTGTACGTAAGAACGATGATTATCTCATTTTCTATTAATAACAATTTTGAAACCATAAAACGATTAACAAAAAAATAATTATCAAATAACAAACTTCAATTAAATGAATGTCATATCTTGACTAATAAACCGATTATTAACAAAATTGAAATATGGCAAGTAACATGGGTCATGCAAGGGCACAGGGTCCTGAGAATTTGTTAGTTATTTTTGGACCTTGACTAAGATCTTTTTCGTAATTTTATCCTTCTGCGCGTTTAGATCAATTTTCAATTAACATTTCTACCTCTTAACTCCCTAAAAGTGTATATACAATGACCCTAAAAACCATTGTAATAGCTATAACAAATAGACAGGCCCCTGTGCACGTGTGTCCTACATAAACAGTACGAGTGATGTAGTTTTTTCACTTTTTATCTAATCTTATATAAGTATTGATGATTAATATTTTCTTGTTACGCAGAGAGAACGTCCAGGAGGCACTTACCTGGAATCTAAATCACTGCTGCGCTTTAGTAGTACCATGGCAACATCCGCTGACCTTTCCAATCTAAAAGGTCAATTTCATGCCAGAGCTAAAGGTCATGACAAGTGTCCCAGCCACAGGAAAAACCAAGTGGTATTTTTGTGTCAGGTCTGTAACATCCTGATTTGTACTACCTGTTCTGTTACAACACATAAAACTCATAATGACAGTTTCATCGAAATTTCAGAATATACTCAACAGTGCAAAAATAAAGTTCGGGACTTTGTTTGTGAAAATGAGAACAAAAGAATTCCGAAATTTCACGTAGAAAAGAAATCAGCCGAGGCACGTCTTTCAGCTTTAAAATCTAAATACAAAAACATTCGTGATAAGATGAAATTAGAACGAGATCAATGTAAAGATATATTAGATAGAATAACAGAGGATTACCTAACATTATGTGACAAGATGGAGGACGCAGAAACAGAGCTACTTACGTCACACATCACTGACCTGGACGAGAGGATCGACACTTTGGTGAAACTTTCATCAGAGTGTAAGCAGACCCTCCAGACAGGAACTAATGTACTTGTGTATGACTCGGCAACAGAAGTCCGGGACATGGACATCAACATCCCACGGATACCTGACATAGGTGTAATAGATTTTACCCCAAGTAAGGACAGACTTAGTCACCTGAAGCAGGCCATGGGGGCGATAGAGACACCTACTGACCATTTCCGGGCAGTATCAGCAACTGGTGGTCACTATAACCGAGGTCCAGTAGTGAAACAAAACCAGTCTACAGAGTTGGGCCAAACGTCCACTGAAGAAGACAAGTATTTCAAACTGTGTGAAAGTCCAATGATTAAATCCAAGTTCCCATACAGGGATAAGATCTCATCAATCTGTCCTACACCTGATGGACGTGCCTGGCTGTGTAATTATAACACCAGTACACTAAACCTCATCAACAACAAAGGTAAAGTCCAGCAACGGATACAACACAACAGTAACACCACAGACATCAGTCTAGACCCCACCACAGGTCGTCTGTGGTTCTGTTGTAAAGGGGAGAGGACTGTCAATGAGATATCTACATCATCTACCCTAGTCAGAAGGTTTAGTACAGAGAATCATCCACACAGCCTGTGTGTGACCAGGGAGGGACGGGTAGTGGTTGGTACAGAAGGTAGACAGGGGTACAAGGTATTGATATGCACAGCAGAGGGTCAGGTGTTACATACAGTCACTGTAGATAGGTCAGGGTCTTGTTGGGTAAGATCCATCACACAGTGTCCTGTTACAGGTAACATAGCTATAGTAAGTAAGAAACTAATCGATGGAGAATACAGTGATCCAGACAACTACAGAAGTCACGTCATTGTGTATAATTCAACACTCCAGCCTCTGGTCCACTATCGTGGGGAGGGGATACAGGCAAGAGAGGCGGTCACACCTGACAAGTTTGGTCCGATCAAACTGGTATACGACAGTAAGGGTAATATTGTTATTGCTGACACGAAAAGGAAAACAATAGAACTAATAAGTGGAGAAGGAAAGTACATAAAAACACTCCACACAAACAAAGGACGACAGGGAGTAGTCGGTATACAGAGGGGTGATGTGTTGTGGTCCAGCTTAGTGTTAGATACTGGAGAGAGGGGATTCAAACTCCTCGAGTATTATAGTGACTGAGGGAGTTAATCTTAGGTGATGAGGCAGGAGATATAAAATAATAATTAATTGACATTATCATGGTCTGTTAGAGGCATCAAATAGAAACTGTTACTACTGGTGAAACATTTTCATATGATAAACATTCTTCATTTTATGTAAAAGAACACTTTTTGGTTAGCTGCTTAAGTGATTAAGATTCTGCAGCTGATCATACTTGTAGAAGCCTTCAGATAGTGTAACAATTTATCACAACCATATTTTGTTACATTTGAAAAACAAAGTTGAACAATTAATTTTTAATGTTATATAGATTTTGAAGAACTGAACGCATCAATTCTAATTCGTATGAGAATGAAAAAGGTCAGGTAAGCTAGTCACTTTGCTGAGTTACATAATGGTGTCGGCTGAAGCTGAGGATGAGAGAACATCTTTAGAGAAATTACCCCTAATACACCAACCAATTGAGATTAGCAACAATTCATGACGCTAATCAAGGAGACAACTACGGACAATTAAGTGTAGAAAATCACTGAAAGTTTAACAAGGACGGAGGATACTTTCGACGTAATTAATCGAGAGTCGTATGAACATTCCATCCGGACGTTTGAAGTGGATTTTTATAAGGATGAAGTTCTTAAAGTTCATTTTTCTGACGGGAAGTACGGGACAGGAAGGAGTTAACGCTATTTTCCAAACAACAAGAGACTAACATGTGTTGTTACACATGTACATGTACATTTACGTGTACCTCACAAGAGTACACATTATCGGAAATTGTTTTAATGAAACGGAAGAGGATCCGAAAACCCATTTCTCCGACCAGGTAGAAGAACTATAAACACTATCGTATTGTTCAAATTAAAGACAATAAGCGCATAAAAATATGTAAATAACTTTGACGCGTATTCGATGGATAGTATGATCGTGGACACTATATAATACATTATGTTTGATTGGTTCTGTCAAACGTGACATTTTCAAGACATTCTTTATTTTTTACATAAATGCGAAAAGGTTAAATGTTTTTATGATAAGTGTTTAATACTATATTTGTTGTATTATAGCAACAATGATGATTTCACAGGTAACATGCTGATTCTCAATTACGTATACATGGTACATTAACTAGGAGTGTTTTGTTCTGGTGTTAAGTTATAATTTGTATAGTTGATATTTCAGAATGTGTATCATGTTATGATCAATTATAAGATTTGTAGAGGGGAAACAAGTACATTGAAACTGAATCTTAATCTAGGAAGTAATTAACATGTTACTTAATTGATATGTTTTAAAGACATATATGTTGATGTACGATGATGTATCCAGATGAAATTATAAAACTTAGTATTGGAATTAACCTTTCAAAAAGTTGGTAAAATAGTTGATGTTACTTAAAGAACTTTGATTTCTCAATCAAAATTCTTATTGAAAAGTGGACGAATGTAACAAAATAGGGTTTAGATATATTGTTACAAAATGTGGTTTCGATATTAGTGTAACTCAGATAATTAAGTCAACAATCTTTGACTGGCTTGTCGATTAATTTTATCAATATGTAATATCGGGTAGACTAGATGGGAATTATGAATGCACACCGATATTTTGTAACTGTATTTACAGTGGACAGCACTGGTATCTTCTGATCCTGTTAGTCTATTCTGTAAAACAGCTGGATTTTCATATGAGATTGGTTGAAATAAGTTAGATTAAACAATAGTTCGTATAATGTTCAATAGTATATCAATATAACACACATAGGTAGTTCACAGGGGTGTGGATAATTACTTGCATATATACACTTAGGTAGGTGTAGTCTAGGCCCCGGTAATCTTATCAGTGGGTGTACAGCCAGTTTATTAATAGAGACTATTCCCACTTCCTTGATAATCAAACTTATGCAATTTCCCGTTCGAGCAGTGACCACCTAGTAATAAATAATTATTAGGGTCTATTTCAAGTAACAAATTAGCACGGGGAATCTCAACCTTGCACCTCGAGTACAGGTGGCTATACTTCAAATATCGTATCATCTAGCGACAAGTGAAGTCCTCATTAGGGGATGGCCGGATAAGCTATGCCCAGAGTAAGATAAAAGGAGGGGTTGGGGGGGGGGAGATCTTTAGGTTATAAAACACGGCCTTGGGGGAGCCCACCAGATAAACGATAAACAGTTCTGATACGAGATACACCGCGAAGTGCTAGTATGAGTATATGAACTCTTTATGTTGATGAGATGTCGCTTTTGTACCTGTAACGTTATTATTATTCAACATGTAATAAACATGGCTATTACAAACAAGTATGTGTGTTTACGCCTATTGTGTTACAATAGTCACTAGCAAATGTTCCCTTTTAATGAAAGAATATCTGTAAAGACGATTTAAACAAACATTACCAAAACATGTACAATTTCTCTTACCCGTGACATTTACCAGATTTTGTTTCATCGCAGTACTTTACTTTACACTAGAATGATCAAATATGTTTGATAATATTTAAACAATAACGATTAAAGCCCCAATATACGTAACATTCACCAAAAATTAAGTGTAGAATCACACATAATTATTGAGATATTCTCTAAGATGTAGTTAAAATTAAGTTATTCAAACAATAGTTACCATGACTTTGTGCATAAAGTATTGATATATGAGCAGTTGAAAAGCACACCTCCATTTTAAACACGCCGCCATCAAAATTACGATTGTTGCCGAACCACGTCGGAAAGTTCATGACCTGATCTCGAGAGAGTTGAGGTTTCTACTTATAGAGGAAGCACATGCAGATATGTCTACGGTAAGTTTTTGTTTACAAACATTGTTTGCGAAGTCTTGTCGTAGACTTGAGGTATTCCTGTGATAAACATTCAGTTTTTGGGAATTAGAAGGAATAATTAGTTTAGAAACGATACGATCATCACAGCAGTGACTTTTTTCATTTGATGTCGGTTGCATAATTTTATTATCTTTCCGCTGACATGAACATAACATCCGTGTAATTTAGTAAAGCATTTATTCAGCAGGGATTTACTGGACGCAAAACGTACATTAGTCCCAAAACTTATGTCTGGACTCTCAAATAAATTACCTATGCGTCCCATAAATTGTCTTAATTACCGGACAGATACATCGCGGTTGGCGGTTTTGTTTGTATTCATCGCCGACCGGTAGAAGCAATTTGAGTTTTTGTCGCTAGAAAATCACCTGTTTGGAAATGCCCTTTTCTGTTTATAGCAGCGCATACGTATTTCGCAACTCAGCGCGTGCCGATCTCAATTGGAGCCTAGAGGGCATACTAATATTAAATGAGTATCGTTCGGCAAACAAAAATGGTTTAAAAAAAACTTCGTACGAAAAAAGAACGATAATGAGAATGAGAAAGAAAGTGAAGCTACATGTAGTCAGGGTGAAGCGTCAGCTTCCGCCGACAAGTCAAGCGAGAAGAAAACACACAGCACGATAGCTATAGGCATAGTGATAGGTCTAGTGAGACAACTTCGCCAATAAAAAAGGTGAAAGTTAGGACAGTTCAGGACATTTGGCTGTCAATATTGTTACGTTACGGAATTAACGTACAGCAAATGAAACCCAACAGCTAGGTTTACAATTCATGAATTTAATAGCAACAAATAAATTCTACGCAGTAAAATTACAACTATTGCGATGGTGTACAGAGCTGGCCACTATTTAATCAAAAGTCAAAACTTATCTTGCGATGGAAGCCCTCCAAATCCAGCAGAATTCACAAAAGATTGTCCCGAAAACAGGGCACTATCACTGAATCACCGTAAAAGTCCACACTTCACAGACTGAAGTCTCAAAATAAATTCACTCAAGGCGTTAATACTTCAAAAAGGCTGCTCAGACTCAGTTCCATCATGTTTATATACAGTAAAGGTTTCTAGATGATTCTAGACTAGCAGGTACCTAACTTGTTTACATGTGTCTCTAGAAACTTCCGGTAACACCCAGGTAATTATAATAACCGAACTTTCTAGATTTAGAAACTTCCGGAAACACACAAGTCATTCTAGTAACCGAGCTTTCTAGAAAAATCTTCCTAGCGCTATCTTCGCATATTGTGACAAACAATTATCAACAGATTTTTACGTAAACAATCAATATGATACAAGGTATGTCAACCTGGCACATATGAATTTGGATTAATACACAACATTTATACATAATATATCCATGGTTGGCACGTGCGTCCGGTGGGGGTATGCAGTGCAACATTTGTCTCTAAATAAAAGGCCTAGAAAACCCACTCATAGCAACTGAAGTCTGTACTAATTACCAAAACTCTACACTACTACGTCACCAAGGTTCGAAAATTCACACCGATAGTGTGCTAAAATTACAGATGAAAAATAACTAAGAAAAAACGAGATCGAATGTTGAACAACAAAACATACATTCCAAAGTGAAGCAATAAATTCGCACATTGTACAACTACGCACTGTTTTTATAATGTGTAAAAGGGACATTGCAGCAGATGTGTTTTCTGATTTAATGGAACTTTAGGTGTTAAATGGAGTGAAATGTGACTATATTTACAGTAGACCACAGGTGATAACAGAAATCATATTTAATGGTTAATGACCTTTTATGGCTGTACTATTGCCATATAATAGTATGAATAAGTAAATTATGTGGACTCTTATTTTTCCTTCATTGACCCTCAAAATTTGAGGTTGGCAGTCCCAGGGACTCCCATTTTTGAACAGTGAGGTAAATCCCTGACTCAGTATGTAAAATATTCTTCTCCAGAACTGGGCCAGTTTGACCAATTTTAGATGGATTATTAGTAGTACATTTCAATCGGAATTTATTAAAGGTATGCAGCCCTGCACCCAGGGTCATTTATGATAGGGGTAAATAGGTAGGGTCATTCAAATCTATTTTACTCTGTAATCAGTAGAAAGTGCGGTTTAAAGATTAAATTGTCTTCTTTTGAACTAATGGCCCTAATGGTCAAGGGGTCGAGGAGTAAGGTAGGGTCATTATTGCTTTATGCAA